ATTCTTCCATTTATCTTCATTATGATAAGGTGTAGGTGGACTTTGCTTAGGCACCTCCTACATTTCCTAGAATGACTTTCAACAACCCCACCCCAGAGAAGAGACATACATCTTACGTGCTTTAATTTCAATTAGTAAAGCTCGTGAATCTGGCCGCCACCCTTCAAGAAGCACAGGATCGTGGTTTTGGTTAAATGTTGAATAGGTCATCAAATCCGATCTCATGTTTAAAGTCAGCGTCTGACTTTTTAAAATATTTAACCAAAGCCGTGATCTGTCCCCAACCATAAACAAATGCTTTAACATTACCTAATAGGGTTGAGCGATATCTACAAAATCTACAAAACCAGACAATGTCTACACTGAAACTTCGGGATGGACGATGGTATCGGGGGCGAGCGCGGTCGTCTTATGTGCATGTGTTCACTCCCACAGACTTCACTCGGTTAAAACCTTGGTAGCCTATGAGCAGCAGTGAACATACAGGGTGCAGATGCTGGTTTCGGTTGTTTGATAGCATTAACAAGCCCACAAGTGACTCACCTCCTGCCGTGATAACGAATTACGGGTAGAAAAATATGGATAAAAGACGAGTTGTGTCTTTTAGATGACTTTATAAAACGTGCTGCTTTTACCTATTAAATAAAATGCGTTAACCTGCCTTTTCTAGCCAACTACTGAACATGAAAGCAGGGTATTAATTAAAACCATTATATTACATTATTTCATTCACTTCAACAACAACCTCTACAAGCATCAGCAACTTGTAGTACAAAACACAAACAGCCCAAGAAAACCAATCCCAGTTCTCATGGTCCTAATGATACCCCCATATGCATCACATTGCTATCCACAGGGGTGAGAAGATTACAGCAAACACATCTTGATGTGCCAGGGACTGTGTATCAACAGCTGTATTGGGACTGCAACAGCCAATTACATTTAGGGAACATCACCTGTATGGCAACCATGAAAAAGAAGCCTGATGGTGCCCAAGTCAACCAAAGATCAGCAGCATGAATGCAATCTTTCAGTCATTATTTATTTAAGTAGCACTCCACCCTCTATCATGTGCGTCAACTTACTACTCTCCAATTTGCATTTCAGTAGGTTACAGGCTTTTTGCCAAGTTACTGGTTTTGTTTCTGTAGACGTAATGTCTCCCAGTTGACTGAACTGACCAATTACAGATGCAGAAGGGAAGGAAATAGTTTACCTGATGGAGAGATCGCCACAGAGACAGTGAAAGAAAAATTCCATCAGGTTTTCACATTTGCAATACATTCATACAGTATCAGTGTCCAGGTCACCTCCTTCCAGAAATACACCCTCTCATTCGGAAGTGTAACAAATTGGAAGTGAAGAACAGAAAACAGCTGAGGAATTACTCCCCTGACCCCTGACCCCATTCAGATTACCATCAGTACATTTCCACATCAGTGACCTGAACCGTTCAACTGAGCATAAGAGGGCTTCTGCAGTGTCCAGTAAACAAAAAGAGGCTGGGGGAGTAGACGGATGGCTGTCCAAATTTATATTCCTGCAAAATCTTTTTTAAAAAGGCAGCAGAGAAAAGTGTGGCGTGATGCACGACACATAGCAGGTGCAGGCTGTAGAACCGTCAAGCATTAATTAAACATCTCTAGGTAAATGAGATGGTCCACCCACCTACTGTATACGCTTACACCTGACATTTAGGTAAATTAGCCAACAGTAAATGCCATTCCTCGGTTGCTCAGATTGGGATGTCACAGATAAGAGAAGCAGCAGCTGAAATTATATGGTTTCATAAAATCCCGTCACTGCCTCAGTCACCAGGTCACATCCAAACCGAACAGCTCTCTCTGAAAAGAACGCCTCTCCGTCTGACTGCTGAGGTTCACAGTATCACAAAATCCAATATTTACCGGAAAATTTGTATTCTATATTAATTCAGGTTCTGAAACTGCCGGACAACTGACAGTGATCCAGAACGTCACAGTAATCCTTTCTGTCTTTCTATTTCCTTTAAAATAAAAAATTGGAAGCTTTGTTCCTGTACAAATTTCAAAAAGAGCTCCATCCCAGGCTCACTGAGATCAGTGAAGGGATTTCCAGTGCTCAAAGTATTAGTTGATCAACTAATCAGTTAGTTGCTGGAAAATGAAGCAAAAAAAGCTTGATGACAGATTAATCATTTTAGAAGGTATCAAGAAACAATGCCTAACATTTGCCATTTTTCTGTCTTATCTGATTGTAAACTGAATACAAACATGTTGGAGAGGGTTTGGGCTGTTGGTTGGACAAAATAAGCAAAATGAAAACATCACCTTGGACCCCAGGAGCTTATGATAGGTGTTTGTTTTTCCCTCACTATTTTTTGGACTGAACGATTAATCGATAAATTAAAAAAAGAGATCAAGGGATGAACTGCTAACGAAAATAATCATTAGCTGCAGCCCAAGGGAGTTCATTACCAGGATCATTATTTTCTATGAATAATCATTACAGTAAAGTTAAAGCCTGAAAACTCTGAAAATACCTGAATAAATTTTTATTAATTTGGTCTCAGTAAGTTCACTTACTGGACTAATCCAAATCTCTACACATCACTATAGAAATAGCTTTTCAATGACCTTCCAAATGACGTTCACGGTCTGACACAAAGCGCACTGACTCAACAAGTCGAGGTGCTGAACTCTTATTGTGGCTGAAATGAATAGATGTTACCAACACTAAAAAAAGAATGAGTCATTTTAAAAACAAACCTGTACAGTAAGTCTTATCTCGAGACGAGGTGACGATGATCCAACACAACATGTGTTAACAACAAGCATCATACAAAACATTTCCATGACTGAGTGAAGAGACGTAAGGTGAGGTCTCACAAGCTGTAAGTGAGACAAGGGAGGGACCGATGGAATAATGGGGGACGCAGACAGAGAAGACTGAGTACGTGTCTTTTTTTGGGAGGGGGGTTCAGGCTGGGTCAGAACATCATTAAAAATAAAATTTCAAAACTACATTTGTCGAGCAAATTTCAGACACCGAGATAAATTTTTTGTGCATTTTGACACACAAATGTGCACCGTTGACCAATGAGTAAGCAGTCTCAACAGTGCTGAGGTTTGAGGGAACGTAGAGGAGAAGCACCAGCAACTTCTACCCTTCGAGTGTGGACGTTCAGAACAACCATCAACACATTTGCTTTCAGATGTTCAGACGTGGTCGGACAACACTTTGCATTAACTCGTTTTTTT